GCCACTATACTCCAGCCTAGGTGACAGAGTAACCCTGTCCCTTTTTTTTTTTTTTTTAAGGCATTTTAATGTATAAAACCAGCAAAGTGACTTCTGGGCTTTAAAGGCCACTAAAATATAGTTATTGTATTTGTTTTTCCTCAAATTTCTGGGACTTCCTCCCCTTGTCACAATTAAAACTAACAGATCTGGTCATTGAAATTGAAGTGTGTAGCAGATTGTTTTCCCTTCATATGTGCCTCCTGTGAGAAATAATGAGGGCCATAATAAGGTAGTGGAGAGGAGAGAATGCAGTTTGTTCCAGAGATACCAAGGTAGAATGGAGGAGATTTGGTAATGGGGTGAAGAGAAAAAAATCAATGACAACTCCAAGATATACAGTTTCCTATTAAAATAATATGCTATTAACGTTTTTTTGGTGTTTCAAACTGTGTAAATAGCGAGATGTGATTTTTAAAAACAAATTAACATTTACTGAGTGCTTACTATGTGTTACTCATTGTGCTAAATATTTTGCATTCGATAAGTTATTTCATTTGTATCTTAAAAACTCAAGTTAGATATTGTTCCCATTTTCAGATGAGGAAATGAGGCACAGAGAGGTTAAAATAACATGCCCCAAGGTCATTCAGTTAATACTTCCAACTCAGCAGATCAGATTTAAGGTCTATACTGAGTCAGTGTGCATGCCTGTAGAATTTACAGCTAGTTCAAATGAGAGGGAGCAAGAAAAATGGACATTAATTTTTAGGACACATCCACAGAATTCTTGGGAGCAGAGGAGAGTTCTATACAAATACAACCTATTTGGAAGGATCTGATAGGAAACTAATAAAGTGATCTTGAGCCCACATTATTTCTTCTTGCCTGCGTTTTTTTTCTTCAAATAGAGACAGGGTCTCGCTCTTCCTCAGGCTGGTCTCAAACTCCTGAGCTCAGATGGTCCTCCCGCCTGGGCCTCCCAGAGTACTAGGATTACAGGTGTGAGCCACCGCACCCGGCCTTCTTGTCTGCTTTTGAAACATTGTTAGTCTCTCCATTTTTTTTTAAATCATTTAACTACCTTGTTGTCTATTGACTCAGCTGAGAAATCTATTAAGAAACTGGTTCTTCTGCATTTGTCATTTTATTGATGAATTGTTATACTCTAGTTAATATACTCTCTGATACATGATCAGGTGCTGAACTGAAAGGTATAAGTACAGAAATAAAACTGGAAAACATGACTTAAATTGCATGTCAAATTATGTTATTGAATATTTCATTGTAAGAGTTGGTGTAATTAATTGAAATCAACTTTATTTACTAGCAATATTAATTCATAAAAAGGGCAAGAGAAGAATTTTTTCCTATTCGAGGCATTATAAATAGGTCAGAATAGGGAAAATGCCTAGTCTGTCTAGATTAAGAAATCCTGTTCACAGAGAAGGCTTTTCTTGGCAGAATCAGTTAGTAAAATTGGGAGTATTTTCCATTTGTCCTCATTATAAGAGAGGCAGACTACTCAGAAAGTAAATATGATAAGCAGTATTCCTTTTAACAACTTTCTGTTTATTTTGTAGTTAGAAGTTTTATTTTTAAGAGGGTATGAGAGATAGTGTTGGACCTCTTATTTTTTTCCTTCAAAAATAATTTTTAAATATGCTCAGAAATTTCTTAATTCTTTCATTGTGTCCAACAAATTAGCACCAGATCCTTCTGACAGTTGAATTAATTTTATTTGAGAATGAGAAGAGGAGATAGTGATCCTATTTAGCTGTTAAAATACTACTTTGGGAGTTGGAGGTGGAAAGGAGAAATCAAGTATCTTCTCTTCCAGAAAGTCTTCAGTGGGAGAGCAGTAATGTCATTTGACTTCAGGAACCTGTAGTTAAGTATTTTTACTTAGCCCTTTCTTTATAATTTAAGATCACAGAATTTCAAACGGGGGTAGGGGGGATGGTGGTAAGTGTTGTAGCTAAACTTGAGGATAGGAGAACTGCTTGTCTGGGAAATTTTTATTTTGACTATGGTTATGTGGAGACTCTTTGACATATCGTAACAGAAAGAAATTGTGCTTTTTAAATGTTACCACTTTTCAAAGATTTGATTATTACCAATAACCTAACCTACTTTTTACATTTATTATTGAGATTTAAAGAATAAATCAGATTATAAGGTTAAGTGCAATTGTCTCTGGAACCCATAAGTTGTTGGTTTTAACACTATTCCTGCTCTGGGGCATTCATTATCATTTCTACTGGGCTGTATGTAGTCTTATACAAGAGGGCAAGTATAAGAATTGTTTTTTTTTGTGTAGTTCATCTTCAGTTGGGATTCATGACATCTGTCAATACTTGATGTGAACTTGAATGGTGATTTACCCATAAAAGGTAATTTATTAGTGGTCTTTTAAAAATCTAAATAATTATCTTTTTGTTTGTTTCTGGAAATGAATTTTTTAGAGTTAAGGTCTTGCTGTGTTGCCCAGGCTGGAGTACAGCAGCTCCATCACAGCTTGCTGCAACCTCAAATACCTGGGGCTCAGGCGATCCTCCCACCTCAGCCTCCCAAAGTGCTAGGACTACAGGCGAGCCACCATATCTGGCCTGGAAATGAATTATTAGTCTTTAGTCTCTTATTCAACAAACATTTCTCGACCACATAGTGGACACCAAAATAAATAAATTAAGGCCACCCTGCAGCTGGTTGGTATCAGTAATGATTAATATTTAAGGCTTTTATCAACAATGTACATTCTTATTTAATCTATCCATCAACCCTCTGTAGTATGTATTGTCATTGTCCATATTTTACAGATCAAGATACCAGCTTAGAAATAAGTGACCACCCTGTGGTAAATTACATGGAGAGTCAGTTCTGGGTCTCCTTATTTTGAAGTTTCATGTTTTGCCACCCTGGGTTGCAGAGATGATATAGAATTACTTTTATGTACATATGGAAAAACTAAGTTTGGCCCTCAAACCAGCCACATAACTTCTTTATTTAATGACAGTAAACTAGCCTCACTTCATTAAGGAAGTCTCTAATAATGTCAGTTATTTGTTTGGTTTCATCTTCTTAAAATATAGAATTGCTTTATTCATTTAAACATAGGTCCATCATTTTTTTAAAAAAGATGAGTCAATTTATTTGCTTTTCAAGGTAATCTTGGATTCAGTTTTTCAAAGTAACCGTGGATTTAATTTTGTTACTAGATTAATATAAAGTTTTCTTAATGCTATAGGTCTGCTGTGTTAGATTTTGTCCTAGATAGTATTGAAGCAGTCTTTAAAGATAATCTATTACTGGCTTTAATGTGTTCTTTGTTTTGTTTTGTTTGTTTTTAGAGACAGTTTAGCTCTGTCACTCAGTAGAGTGCAGTGGTGTGATCATAGCTCACTGTAACCTTGAATCCCTGGGCTCAAGCAATCCTTCTATCTCAGCCTCTTCAGTAGTTAGGACTATAGGCACACACCACCACACCCAGCTTATTTATTTATTTATTTATTTACTGTGTAGATGGGGTATTGCTATATTGCCCGGGCTAGTTTTGAACTCCTGGCCTCAAGCAATCCTACTGTCTCAGCCTCCAAGGGTGCTATGATTACAAGCATGGACCACCGTGCCCAGCAGTTTTAATGTTATATAGTACTTTCTGGTGACATTGGATTACCAACTCTGTTTTTTGTGTATTTGTGTGTAGCTACTACTTTTATTTTACTTCCCAATCTTAATCCCCATAACCAATTTGTGTAATCTCTTATATAGTCAGTCTCTTCATTTGGAGCGATAATTGAAGAGAAGTATATTTCCTGAGAGAGGACCTCATGCCCATGCCCTAATCTTAAGTTAGTTAGGAAGACTTTCACTGCATGAAGTATCTTGGACTTGCCAGCAGGTGGAAGAAAATGTAGAAGGACTTTTTTGCATCTTGCCTTGGTTGAGTGCCCAGTATTCCTAATGGATTTTCTTAGTTGTGCACAGCCTATGAATGGGGAGACTGTCCTATATTATTAATACTTTTCATCCCTTTTTTCAATCTATATTATTTTTGAAAAGTAATAATTCTAACATAACTGTAATATCAAGCCACCATCATGAAGTTTGGGAAAGAATATATTATCATTAAATTTTATTATCAAAGCAGAGTTTTGTATCTTTTTTGCAGTAATTAAAGAGAAGGAATATGACATTAAAATGCTTTTAAAGTTCCATCTATATTTAATTCTTCAAAACTTGCTATATGTACCAATATTATAATAATACATTTTAGAACTGAAAGGGACCTTAGGGGTCATTTAGTTCAGAAGTCAAAAACTGCTGGCCCAGAGCCAAAATCTCCATCTCCCAATTTGATTTTGTTAGTTTCTACAATATTCATTATTTTTAGAATTCAGATGACTTTATCTGTATAGCATTCACTCTCTACTTCTGTGGTCCCCAGGCCTCAGACAGGTACCAGTCCATGGCCTGTTAGGAACTGGGCTGCACAGCAGGAAGTGAGCAGTGGGCAAGCAAGCAAAGCTTCCTCTGTGTTTACAGCTGTTCCCATGGCTGACATCACCACCTGAGCTCTGCCTCCTATCAGATGAGCAGTGACATCAGATTCTCATAGGATCTTGAACTCTACTGTAAACTGCACGTGCAAGGGATCTAGGTTGCACACTCCTTATGAGCATCTAAGGCCTGATGATGTGAGGTGCTGGTGTTAGCACTGGGGAGCAGCTGCATATACAGATTATCATTAACAGAGAGATTTGACTGTGCAACAAATGTAATGTGCTTGAATCATCCCAAAATCATCAGCGCCCTCAACCCAGTCTGTGGAAAAATTGTCTTCCATGAAACTGGTCCCTGGTACCAAAGGGTTGGGGACCACTGCTCTACTTGACCACAATCCACACTCTTACCTAATAAAACCTTGCTGCTTCAGGCTTTTACATGCTTACCTGATGTAAGCTGATGTAAAGCATCTGAGTGTTCATTATTTTCCCCTTCCTTCATTTTGTCATTTACAGACAAGGAACCTGAAACTAAAAATTAAGTATCAAGTCCAACAGAGCTTAAAGGAAAAATAAAAAGTTAGTGATTTGCCTCAAGATACACAACTTTTTAAATCTAGAGCTTCTTAAATCCAAGGTAATGTTTTTCTATAGTTTGTTGTCTCCTTTTAGAAAACAGTTCAAAATAGTATATAATCAAGTCCTAAAGTATTTGGTACAGCCTGTCAGAAACAAGACCCATTACTGTGCTGAGATAGTGCAAGAATACTTCAGAGACATTTCCTTGACGCTACCTTCCTAAGAAAGTGGATCCTGAGTATATATACTAGTCAGGAACGCCCCATCCAGATCCATATTATTCTTCCTGTACGGTGCGGGGAAAGACATAAATATCCTTCCATAAAGCATTGGTAATGGAAATTGCTGAATTGCATTTTGTACATACTGAAAAACACTACCTAGACCAACTACATTTAGACTCCTCCAGAAATCCCATTTGTGCCCCTGTTGCAGAGGAAGAAGGGGCATCAAAGCCATAAGCTCTCTGGTGGATCCTAGGTAAATCTCCAACTCTCAAATCCAAATTTAGTTTCAGCCACAAATTGATTGGCATTGTCACGCCACCAAAGATGATTTTGAGATACTCAGCAGAAAAGCCTAATGGTGGAGTCTTCTGTTGAAAATAGAATTTAATATCAATCCATTGACAGGACTCTTGGCTACTGAAATATATATATATATATTACTTTTACCTTCACAGAAGTCCTTCATAACCACCCTATAAACAATAAATAATCCATCTGTTCCCACACTGTCTCCTTTAATTTGCTTTGTTTTTTCCTCCATACTGCTTATCACACCTGACATATTTCATATTGACTTTGTTTTCTACCTTCTAGATTATAAATTCTGAGGACGGAGTCTTGTATTCACTGCTTTATTCTCACTGCCTAGAGTAGTGCCTAACTCAGTATATATTTATTGATGTTGAATATTGAATGCTATATTATAGTAGTCTTGGTAGAAGTTGTCATTTCTTAGATTTTATTTTGTGATTATCAGATTCTAGCATAGTTTTTGGAACAGAGTATGTCCTCAGTAAATGTCAACACTAAGTAAATAGCCAAGAATTGTGTTTTTTAAATACATATATTTATTGTTATACTTTTTAATTTCCCTGATTTTTAGAATTACTCTTTTAGTTCATAATTGGGCTCAGTAATATCTACATTTGAGTCTTTGGTCTTATTAATGAAGAATGTTACAGGCAATTCAGAATGGTAGATAATTAAATCAGTTATTTTTATTTGGATGTGTGCTTTAGTGAATTTAGACTGAAATTTTACTAAATTTTTATTTGATTCATAAATCTTCAGGGTTTTCTTCTAATTCAGAACCATCATAGATAGCACTCATTGTTTTGTAGTCTTGTGAAAATGTCAATTATTAATTTTTGATTGAAATAGTATCTTAGATAAATTCACTGAACTTAACGTAGAGTACAATTGTGTCTGTTTTCTTCCACTTTCATTTCAAGCATTTATGATGAAGCCACTTACAGTGGCAGTAAGCAGTCCTTACAAACCTGACTTTGGAAGGAGCCCTAGGTTTTGTTTCTTACCTTTCCATGTCTTTGCTGTGGTTTGCTCTGAAACTAAAACTAACTTCTTAAATTGATAAAAAAAGAATTAATGTAAGCAAAGCTACAGTCTGTAGAGTAGATGGAGAACATTGTAAAAGTAATAATAAAACAACTTTTAAACAAATGAATGAGTATGGTATCTAAGTATTTTGCAAGAAATAATAGCAGTGTATAAGATCGGTCCATTACTTTTGTTGATCAGGTTGGTTGTAGTCATGCAAATTTTAGGCAATTTACATAAGTAACTTAAATTTAGGAATCTTTAAATGTAAATGACATAATAACACTAAAAATTACCCCCAAAATTTTATTCAAAGATGAATAACAAATATTTATGCATTTGAAAATGAGTGTAGAAAATACTTTAAGTTTTAACAATAGTAGAATTTTCAGTGTTTATTGGTAGTTTTCTTTAGAAATTTAATTGATTCTCGCATAATCTTAGATTGTATTGGAGAGGCAATGTGTAAATCATGCTCTCTATTTATAATTGTGTACCTGCCTGCTATTGTAGAAGTTGTACTTTTTTGCCGATGAAGTATGTGTCTTACAGTGGCACTATTGATAACACTCCTTAGTTAATTTTGCGTATACGTTATATTCTTTCCTATTTAATCAACCAAGAAAAATGAGGATCTGGGAGTTCTTCATTAGTTAACATAATTGGTTATTTCATAGATTAAAGCTTAGTGCAAATATACTGTATTTGCAGACTAATTTATACATAGGCATAATATTGTTAACTAGCAGATAACTTCCAGTTGCATCCAGTTTTACAAATAAATGCTGTTGTTTACAAGGAATATATGAAGAGAGCACATGAAAACCAACAAATTTTTATCATACCTGTATTGTAATAGAAATTCAAACTAGAATGTTTTACCATAGACCAATAGCGCCATAATTTTAGGCACAATGTTTAGCAGCTATATCACAATGCTGACACAGCGTCAATAACTTTTTCTGATGGTATTGCTTTAAACTTCTTGAAGGTTATTAATTTAAAATTTTTTTCAGAGTTGATTTTTCAGTTGATTATAAAATAGTGTTTATTTGCTCTTTCAGACTCTTCTCTTTAAATAGTAGTTTATGACAATAATACTTCCTAATAGTTAGAACTCTGTTAATTTCTAAATATCAGGTAACCTAATACTACTCTATATTTTTTTGTCTTAATCGTTATTTTATGCTGATGGGCAAGTAGATACAAACCAGCAGGCTTCTCAGAATATAATCATTTACTTGTGGCATACCAGTTAATGTACTTATAACTTAAGTCGTTTGCTACCTATTTGTCTTTTCTTTCTAGGTAAACTTTTTGGCTTGCTAATTAATATTATATAAAGGTAAATATTACTTTGATTTTTTTTTTTTTTTTTTTTTTTGAGACAGAGTCTCACTCTGTTGCCCGGGCTAGAGTGCTGTGGCGTCAGCCTAGCTCACAGCAACCTCAAACTCCTGGGCTCAAGCAATCCTTTTGCCTCAGCCTCCTGAGTGGCTGGGACTGCAGGCATGTACCACCGTGCCCAGCTAATTTTTTCTATATTTTTGCTTGGCCAATTAATTTATTTCTATTTTTAGTAGAGATGGGGTCTTGCTCTTGCTCAGGCTGGTTTCAAACTCCTGACCTGAGTGATCCGCCCACCTCAGCCTCCAAGAGTGCTAGGATTACAGGTGTGAGCCGCTGTGCCCGGCCTATTGCTTTGATTTAAAAGAGAAATATGTCTAAAATGTCAGTATTTGTGTTGTTTGAAGTATTTCTTCTTCTATCAAGCATTTAAAAATATGTTTAATTTTTAGTACTTTACTATCTCATAGCCCTTTTTGAGAAGAAGCGTACTATTATAGTAATTATGGTTTAAAAATAGGATTAAAGGAACTTTAATTGATTCTTTAATGCTTGCCTATTTGTTTTTATAATTATTCATGAGTTGAGTGGCTAAACTTTGTATTTTCAAGTTTTCTAATGGCCACCTTTTAAAAATGCCAACGATTATCAACATTCTTAAATTGTAATAACATTGGAGTAATTATATAACTCTTCAGTTTGTTGTTTTTTTTTTGAGATGTCACCCAGGCTAGAGTGCCATGGTGTCAGGCTAGCTCACAGCAACCTCAAACTCCTGGGCTCAAGCAATTCTCCTGCCTTGGCCTCCCAAGTAGCTGGGATTACAGGCATGTGCCACCATGCCCAGCTAATTTTTTCTATTTTTAGTAGAGACAGGATCTTGCTTTTGCTTAGGCTGATCTCAAACTCCTGACCTCAAGCGATCCTCCCACCTCAGCCTCCCAGAATGCTAGGATTATAGACTGTGAGCCACCATGCTGAGCCTAAATATGTCTATTTTTTGAAACCCCAGGGAATTGAAATTCACTTTCTATTACATCTCAAGATTTTCTCAGTATCCTTAAATTACTGTAGTAATATTGAAATTCCCTCTCAGCTGTCCAAAGTATAGTCTGCATAAGTTGGGATACAATACAGTTCCTCAAGGCTTGTAAGATGAATATTAGGAGTCAGAGATAATGCCAGTATTACGGGATTTTTGTTTAGTAATGTGTTTTTAAATACTTAAGAGAGTTATTTGAGTCTTTATTTCTGAACTACATTTTTACATGATTCAAACTACTGATGTATACTCAACTTTTTGCTTTTTGTATTGACATGAAAAGTTACTGATCCATGTCAGTATGTATTTAGAAAATAGTTTTAGCCTATGCATTGTACCTTTTTGCCCACCTAGAAGAAAACATTCTAAATCAGACAAAAGCGAGACAGTCCCTCATTTACATTCTTACATGTTTTACTGAACTAGTAGATGAAAGGGTAGAGCAGTGATTCTCAACTGAGAGAACATTTCTGCTTCACAATATTAAGTGGCAGTTCAGATGATGGCTATTATTACTATCATTTGAAAAGCTATCTTATTGACTGTTACTATGCGCAAGGTACTAATGACGCTTTAAAAAATTATTAATAGTACATTTCTTATTCTTTCCTTAATTTTTTGAGCACATTCTGTATTCCAGCTACTGTTTCAGGTTCTGGGGATATAACAGTGAATAAAATAGACAAAAATCCCTGTCTTCACGGAGTTTACATTCTCTGTCACCCATCTCACAATTATATTCTGTAGCTACTTTCAGTTTACCTGGAAGGAAAGTGAGGCTCTGAAAGGTTTCATGACTTGCTCAAAACCAGGATTTGAAACTTAGGTACCATTAACCATTATGCTGTGTTATCAAAATGGTCCCCTTTGGGGTTCTATGAAGGAGAATAATTAGTCTCAATGATTCAAATAGTAAAGTGCTCATTCTTAACCTGAACTTAGCTTTAAGCTAAGAACACTTGAACAGTAATATCATGCTCAGAGCACAAGTACACAGGTGCCACCACTCTTTACCCATCCCCCCCCCACCCCACAAGCCAATGGCATTTCTTTTATCGAGCAGTTGCCTTTTCTGCTAAAACTAGATGTAACCACACAGTCTTA